TTTCTTACCGTAGGTTGTTACATTCTTTGTTTCCGTGGCTTGTTATAATATCATTTTTACCTGCTTATGTATTTTTATATGGTGTATATTTTATCTGTAATACATAGCCTTCCTTTCAGCATTGGGCAGTCTGAAAGTGAAGTTCCATGATCTTCCTTTAAGTTATTGCAGATTTTTCTTCTTTTTCTCTTGTTTTTTGAAATGATGAATTTTTGAGCAATCTCTTGCACTCTTCTTAATGGAATGTAGAATATTGTTGCACCCGTATTATTACAATAGATCAGTCCTTTAAAGCAGATAGCTTGAGACACAGTAAGGCCATTTTAAAAGACTTTGTCCTTGTAAATGGCAGAAAATATATTTTAGGGCGTATACCCGTTGGAGAGGCTTTTTGACAGTTCCAGTATGCAAGGTGGGGGAAAAGATGTTAAGAAACTACCCGGAAATCTAGTGAATCTTCTTTCAGAGAACAGTTGAATTCACAGTGACCCACATGAGAAAATATTCTTGTCTAGTCATAACCAACAAACAATATTTCAAAAATTTCAAAATTTAAGTTGACAGTGGAGAAAGAAAGGACTTAAGACTAGTGAAGAAGAACCATTAGAACAAGTCATGGAGCACAGCTTAATGACAAGTAAGAGAGATCCCAATCTCATTTTACTTAAGTGACTAATTACGTATTATTTTTCCTGAATAGTCATGAAGTGCTAGAAGTTTTTCAAAAGCTTGTTTCAAGAGTCATCCTACGTAGCTGAGTAGTTGTATGCACTTCATAAATAGTCTTAACCCAGTGAGGACTATTGTAGGCACCCAATTTCTTGGGCAGTTAGTAGTTATCCTTCCAAGGTGGCTTAGAAAATTTTCCCCATCAGTTAAAACGAAAGAAAGGGGAAGAGCTTGTGCTTTTGACTATTTTATAAGCCTTTAGAAGACAGAGCAGTTTTAGATGCCGGGGGCTTTTTAGCATGCTGTGGATTTGGAAGCTAGCAGTATCCTCCAAGAAGCAGATTTTGTAACAAACTTTCTTTCACAAGTTTGTTTAAAACTTTGAAATATAATGTTATATATAATTAAGAAGTGAAGAAATACCATAGTACTATATATATAAATATGCACTTAAATAAGAGGAATCC